ACCAGTTGTGGGCAAGGGGGGGGGGGCAGCACATTCCTTCCATATCCAAGAGCAGGGCTATTTTTGGGCAGGAACGCACAGGAACGGAGTTCTGGCTGGCTTCTGAGTTGGCCACGCCCAGCAGGAACTCATAAGCACAAGAGGCCACACCCAACAGCAGGAACTCATTAGGATTTGGCTACATTAGGGGTGTGTGGCCTAACATGCAAAGGAGTTCCTGCTACAAAAAAAGGCCCTGGGTTTTGACAACAAACAAGGTAAACAGAATAAGAAGCAAAAGGTGGGTGTGGCTGGATGACCACACTTCTGGTAATGTGGGGTGTGGCCTAATATGCTAATGAGCTATGCTCTCATGGGTGTGGCCTATTATGCTAATGAGTTCCTGCTGGGCTTTTTCTACAAAAAGAGCCCTGTCCAAGAGCATTGCTCCATCATCTCTGGACATCACTCTCCACACATTGCAGGATCCTCCTAAGCTTTTATGCAGCTCTGTCAGCAAACAAACTCGAATTGAGCTATGAGGTTATTTACCAGTTTCTGGGACCTGCTCTAATCTCCAAAACATTTGGCCAAAGCCACTGGTTGCCTGCCTGCCTGCCTCCTGTTGTTACAGACAAGCAACACGGGGCCTGCTCTGCGGGCTTATTGGCCAAACTGAACAGACAGCACCAAAATACTAATAGAAGAAAATTGACAGAGTAAAGGTGACGAGAAGGCAAACAAAAAAAGGAAGAACAGAAGACAAAGGAGCCAGAAAGTGAAGATGTTAAAAACTGCAGAAACAACTGGGCTCACAAAGGGAACAGAAGACAAGGAAAGGAAGGAAAACAAAGGAGGCATGGAGTAAAAGAAGGCACAGAAGACAAACCAACTGGTTATCACCTTCTTCTCCAGTTCAATGGCTTTGGCTTCGCTTTTTGCCACTTTAGTTTGGTCAATCAAGTTATCTACATGGAAAGAAACAATTAGGAGAATCATAATGGGAAATCCCGGCACCTGCACTCCTCCCATGACAGCTCAAGGAAGTTCAGTTTTTAATGTATCGTTTTGGCTCTCCGTTTTGGATTGGCCTCACTTTCAGGAGCCAGCTAAGTCAAGTCAGTGTCTGCCACCCAACCTTCCCTTAAGGGCCTTCAAGACCCTCTGCTGGCAGCTGATCTTGCCTCCTGCCTCAACGTGACTCAGTAAGGAAGAGGACTGGCAGCGATCTCTTTGTGCATCACCCCAGGCGCACCGTGCTTCCACTGGAAAAAATGCCACTATCCCAGGGCATGACTATTTTGCATCAAAATTAAATCACCATCATCGCCACATCAAGATGCCAAAGATCTACAGCGAGCAACACAGAAACCTGCAATGTGTGTTCGTTACAAAAAAATCCCCTTAATTTATTCTGCTAGCGACAGCCTAGGAAAGCAAACTCTATTGGCACCTCAAACTGATGGGGGCCTAAAAAAAAAAAAGACGTCGCTCTCTCCAGCAGCCAAGCAAACTGTGTTTGGACTCACCTATCAGTCCCTCAACATTAAGTTCAACGTGCTTGCACTTAAAATCCGGATCAGCCCCGTTCTTCTGCAGGACTATCTGGGAAATGCACTCCTCAATCAGCTTAAAATACTGAGGCCTGGAGACAAAGAGGGAGCGAGAGAATTAATGCTGATGTTCCAGAGTACAGATCTCCCAGAAGAAGCGTTCCCACGAGGGATCCCGAAAGATTACAAGACAGTTTCTCATCTCGGAGTCACCCCAGTTCTCATCGGGCCAGCTGAGCCTCCTTTCTGCATCGCCCCCGGTTCATTTCCCTCCTGCCTGTCCACCCTGGTGCTTTTCTCCAATTCTCTGCTCCGCAGCCTGCTCAGCTTCTCTCAGGTCACAGCAGTAATATTCCCACTTCACAAAAGGTGCCTTCTGCCAGTGCCAAGGATGGAAAACACTGTCTAACAGATGTATTCGTTTAATAATGGTCACCCTCATCCATGTATCCCAAGACAGTTTGAGTATTCCTCAGTTCTGCCCTCCCCTCCAGCGGCACAGCCAAGAACCAGCACAGACAGCGCTGAAACAGTTCCCCCGTGTACCTGGCATCGTAGTCGTTGCGGATGAGCAGAAGGTGCTGCAGAAGAGAGAGGAAATGCTGCTCTGCCTTCGAATCCTTGACAGTATTGAGAAGGATCTGGAAGATCTCACCAAAGTCAGTGAGGGGAAAAGGTTAAGGAGGCAAAAAAAAAATAACCACCTGAAAGGTGCACAGCCTGAGCTGCCCTGAGGGGAAGCTGGCCCATCCCACTCAACCCTCTCCCCACCGTCCGTCACCAAAATTGTCCAAAAAAGACAGGGCAATCCATTCCCACCACTGGGATCATATGTGTTTTACTGCTGTGTGGCACCACTCTCTGACAACATGCATCTCTCTCTCTCTCCCCCCTCCGATGCAACACAAATTATGTTCTGAGAGACTTTTGTCTAGTTTAATCGCAGTTCTTGCTGGTTTCCCTTAAGGATGGCTTGCCTAGCCCATTTCCCCTGCCAATTAATATGCGAGGCAGTGTGGTGTAGCAGTCATAGCGTGGGGTTCATTCCCTACGGGGTGACCTCGGGACAGTCACTCTTGTTCAATTGATGGAACTGCCTTAAAGGGTTGTTATAAGGATAACTTGGGGGTGAGAGAAGAATGTCTTGGAGGTCCCTGGAAGAAACGAGGGATAAAAATGCAGAGACGTATGCATGTGATATAGACGGGATTGCCACTGTGGGCTGGCCCAAAATGGGACTCTGTTACAGAGACTCATTTCCTCTGCTCTGTTTTTGTGTACAGACCTAAACTCCAGATGCCGTCTGGTGGCCAAGCACCACACAAAAACCTCCGTTGCATCATACACTAAAACCAATCCTCACTGACAGCTCACGGTCCAGCTCCGCTCCCTTTATCCACCATCACCCATGTGGTTGTGGTGGGGCATTTCAGGGCCATGCCCCCTCACCCCTCAGCCATGCCCCACCACGCTTTCATCCAACACTCCAGTGCCTCGCAGCCCTCCGCCGGCACCTCGCCCATCCTCTGCGCTGCAAATGGACACCCACAGGGCCAGACGCCCCATCGAAAGGGCAGCCGGCGGGCTGGAGAAATGGCAGGAGGAGAGGAGCCAGCCGTGAACATTAGAGAGGCACTGGGGAGGTCTTCTTCCTGCTTCTGCAGCCAACTTTGGCTGTAGAAGCAGGAAGAAAGCCAGTGAGCCTGCACCTCTCTGACAGTTTGAGAGGTGGTGGAGAGAGGTCTTCCTGCTTCCTCTTTCTTCTCTCTCTCTCCCCACCCCTTCTCTCTCCCACTCCCCCGCCCCCCTGGGTTTCCCAAAGCCCCACCACCCAAAATTTTCTAGCTACGCCCCTGTCCACCATCCTCCTTTTCCATACTCTTCTGTGCTTCTCCCAGGGCCGCTTGTTCCTCGATTCCAACTCCAAGCACCCCATTTCTATTTCCCCATCTGCCTCACCACCCCTGTAGTCCATAATGGTCTCCAATTCAATGATCCCAGGCTAACCCTCTGTCTTGTGAGGTTTTAATGGATCAGGCTGGCCTGGCAATTCCAGGCAGAGCAACTGCGCATAAATAATGTGCCCTGGAGCCAGCCCCCCCCCCCCCCCCCCCCCCCCCCCAGCCCACAGAACAGAAGAAGGATATTCCATTTCTATGCGAATGTCCTCCAAACGGCTTCGGAGTTCAGCAGAATCTTCTTCCCCGTATTCTTCGAACACTGACAGCTGCACCTTCAGCTCCTCGTTGTCTTGAGAATGCAGGTCCTGTGGAAAAACAAAATGGCTGCTCTCGTTTTCTGCGGGTACCAGCTCGTCTCTTTGCCGCAACGAGGGATCCGCAAACAGCAACTTAGCTCCTGCAGATCCCTGTAAAGCTCCTTTCATGCCTCCTCTCAGGATTCCGGGAGTCCCAGTCTAACACATTCCTACTCTTTGCAGCAAACAAAAAAAAAGTTTGAAAATATGAATAAAAAGCGAAGAGGCCCATGGGAACAAATGAGATGCTAATAAAAATAAACAGAGGCTTGTGTTGTGATAGTCGATTTGACCTTAAAGAGCACAACGGAAGGTTTCGCAATAGCTATCAAGCTCGGGGGGGGATCGGAACTCACTTTTAAAGCTTCTTCGCTCGTCTCATTCTCCAGTTCCTTGACAGTCTGATCACAGACTCCTTTTAATTAGGCTTCATTCGCTGACCCGCTTGCTTGTCCCGATCGGCATTCAGCTATGCTCGGTAAAAACCGAGCCTCTCAGGGGGTGGACCGAATGGGGCAAAGAGGAGCGCCTCAATTCTCCGGCTTAAAGCCGTTGAAGAGGTCGCCCTTCCAGCGCCCCCGGCTTGGAGCCCCTCACTGAGGCTCACCTGGGGGTGCCACTTGAGGTGACATCCCTCCAACACCCCTGGAGCGCGGAATGCCTCCCCCATTCAGGAGAGAGCCTCCGCCATCACTGAAGCCACAGACCGGAAGTCGGCAGGGAACTGTTCCTGATGGCCTAAGACAGTGATGGTGAACTTTTTAGAGACCGAGTGCCCAATCTGCGACCCAAAACCCACTTATTTATCGCAAAGTGCCAACACGACAATTTAACCTGAATACTGAGGTTTTAGCTTTAGAAAAAAACAACTCATACATTAACTTAAGATGATCCAAACAAAGTAAGGAAAGCAATCCCAAATGCTTTCATTGACTTAAAATTATTTGGCAGGGAATTCAACACTTTAATGATGGTCTGGGCCTGGCTGGGACGATGGCACGCATGCCCACAGAGAGGGCTCTGAGTGGCACCTCTGGCACCCGTGCTATAGGTTCGCCACCACTGACCTAAGAAGACAGGACTCGCAATGATGGGTTTAAATTACAGGGCAGAAAGGCACCAGCTGGATATTAGGGGAAATTCTTTTACAGTACGTGTAGTTCAGCAGTGGAATTGGCTGCCTAGGGGAGGTGGTGAGCTCCCCCTCACTGGTAGTCTTCCACCAGCATCTGGACAAACACTTGTCAGAGATGCTTTGAGGTGATCCTGCATTGAGTAAGGGGTTGGACTGGGTGGCCTGTATGGCCCCTTCCTATGTTATGATTCTATGATCCTCCCAGCATGAGTGGGCCAAGTCACTTGAGCACACAGGGGAAAAAATAACACAAAGGCTGCCAGTGGCTGAAGAAGCCCCCACCCACACCCCACTCCTAGCCAAGCCCAGCCTACAGAATTCGTGGTGCCAGAAGTACCTTCAGTACCACTGAGGTGCCACTCTTCAGACCATCCAGTAATGGCTTGAATCGTTCCACTTCATCCATTTCTGCTCGGTCAGTGAGGGCCCCCAAAACACGCTCATGCCTGTGTGGGAGTAAGGAAAGAAAATCAGCACCGCCTTTTTACACCCATGAGAAAAAGTGAGACCCACCAAAGCAGAAGCAACAACTCTGCTCCTGCTCAAGTAGTTCTCTGGTGTGGCCAGTGCTACTACTTAGAATTCCGAGAATCCTTTGTCTGCTAATGAATATTCCTAATCCTCATGCTTGCAAGGGGGGGAAGGAACTTGAAAGCTTGACTAAAATGCTCAGATGTCCCTGGGATGGAAACAGGGTACCAATAAAGATTACTGACACGCTGTATCTTACTAACCAATGGGGCTTTAAAGACCAGCTCCAAAATTTAATTCCCTGCTTAAAAACAGTATTGCTAGAATGGGACACTGGTCACAGCCATGAAACTGCCATATTCAGACTGGTGCACAAGAGGCTTGGATGTCTAGACTCAGCTTGCAAACACTGCTTTTTGTAGATTCCTCAGTCAGGTGGTGTTTGTGATCGCAAAAATGGAGAAATGCTTCAGTAAATCAACACCCTCCCATCCACACACACAAAAGGTCAGAGGGCTGGACTGATGAGGTGTTCCAACGTGCAGTTAATGAACAGATGATGGTTCTTGAGGTAAGTTAGAGACTTCAAAGGCACCAGAGCTTCCTGAGGATGTGTCAGGACTTTCTGTCTCCCCCCACAGCCTCTCACTGACCCCCCTTCATAGGGCTTTACTTTCAGGGTAGCTGAATAAGGGCCCTGGTCACACGGCAAAGTTGCCGCGGGAGAGGCACGGAAGGTGGGCGGATTATCCGGGCGCGATCACACCCCAACATCTGGGAAGTGGAACGCACCCGTGGCTTACCGCCGACAATGTGCATTTAAAAACTGTTACCTCCAAGGTACTAGTAAACGTTTGCCACGGGCTGCCTCCAGACGCCCGTGGTGTGATCGCGCTGGCACACGGCATTCCCCTCCGGTCCCTCATTTACCCGCTGGCACCAAGGGAAGGACCCGTGCTGTGCCGGCGGCGCGTCTGATCACGTAATTGCGGATCAAACTGCGCCGGGGCAATTAGCCACGCCTCCCCCCCGCGATATCCGGCCCGTGTGCCCGGGGTCACAGTGATGCTTTTTCCTAGGTGCACCTATTCTATTTCCCAAAACATTTCTCTATATCAAGAATGTGTTGAACTGAAGCAGAAGAAACCTAGTGGGAAGGAGTGATCACCAAGAATGTAAAGGGATTTTGGAGATTTTGAGAATTTGAATGTTTCTTGAAATTTTTGTTAAGAACAACAATAAAAACAATGTGTATTTAAAATACGAAATGTAGACTTATGCTTTGATCTTTGTATTCGGAGGGGCCCCAGAATGCCGAACTGCCCACCCTTCCACCAACGCACAACAGAAATAATAATGCCCCAAACCACCCACAGTCACTCACAAGGCTTCTTGGTGAGGCAGGATGCAGAGGGCTGAAAGCAACTTGACAGCATCGATCATCATGGAAGGGACTTTGGGGTCGACAGCTCTTGCCAAAAGCAGGATGCCCTCCTCTGTTTCAAGCATAGCTTTAATTCCAAACTAAAAGGAGAAGCCAGAAAAATATCAGCATTGGTGAACTGGCCAATCTAGCACAGATCCATACAGCAGATGTCTAGACCGGGAAAGCCTGAAGGGGGACTGCTAGAAGGGAAGGTCACAGCCAGAGACAACAGCAGTGTTCAAAAGACCCTCTAGACTAACAAGACAAGCTTTTGTCTATTGTGGCTTTTTTCTGACTCCATTTTTCTCAAGATTTCCCCTAACATTTCACAAACATATCTGCTCTCAATATTGGTCACTCCATAGAGTCCTGCCTTGAACTTTTCTTTTTTTCTTTCCTGTGTGCGTGTATGTGTGCATGTGTGTGTGTGTGTGTATATATATATATTTTTGTTTCAAGCTATTTATTACTTTTCACTGATAGTTTGTAATTGGAAGTTTTCTGTTTCCAATCTTGCTCCTCCCAAGCTAATATTTTTCTGCTTCGCTTTCCGCCTTCTTTCAAGGACGGTCTTCCCATTCCCTTAAACTGAATTTTTACAAACATAGCTGCTTTTTTCCTTTCTCTGCCAATCTACTTCTTCCTTTCCTTATTCCATTGATAGACTGTCCCTTTTATATTCACCTTCATGATCATAACCTTGAAATTATCTCTGATTAATCTCTGCAGTTTTCAAATTGCACCCTTAGTTCCTGTTTTTATCTGTTCAATACGCCTAAACCTTGCCCTTTACATTGTATTGATGCTTCTAAGGCTCTTGTCTGTTCTCTAGAGTGAGTTATGGTAATGTTCTTTCTTCCGGACCTTCTGCTTCAGCTCCTTGAGCGCTCCTTTTCGTCTCTTCAGTTCTGCTGCTCCCTGGAGTTATGCCGCTCATCACCCTGATCATGTTTCCCATTCACTTTTATTCTCTCCATAGGCTGCCCCTTGCTTTTTGCATTTTGTGGAAATATTTCCTCACTCCCAAAAGCTTCCACTCCTTTGCCCCTCTCATTTCCCAACTGGACGGGCAAACAGAGAATCCCCCCCCCCATTCTACTAACACCAACCTGCTTACGAAACACAGACTATCGCTACTGTTTCCTTTCAACCCACACCTCTTCCTACCCGATAGATACCCTGTTTCCCCAAAAATAAGACCTACCCAAAAAATAAGCCCTAGCAGGATTTCTATGCATTTGTGGTATAAGCCCTACCCCGATAATAAGACCTAGTGATGAGAGTTATGACAATGTTCCAGAAGAAGATGACTTAACTGTATTTGAATAAATGTAGATTGTTGTATTATACTTAATAAAAATAAGACATCCCCTGAAAATAAGCCCTAGTGTGTCTTCTTGAGAAAAAATAAATATAAGACAGTGTCTTATTTTCGGGGAAACACGGTATGTATAAATATATTGATTCGACACCCTCAGTTATCGTCCATACAAAAGAAAGTTCTTAACTTGTTTCTCCTGTGGCTGCCCTAAGCTCCTACCTTCCCTTTCCTTGTCCTTCTGCCTTTCCGTCTCTGTTCTTAGACTGCAAGCCTGAAGCACAGACGGTCTTAGTGCTGAGCTATGCCCCATACTTGGCCAGCTGAGTCTAAAATATGCCAGTTGAGTCTAAAAACACAGGAGACAGCAGTGTACAAATACGTGGGGAAACTGGAGACTCACCTTATTGTTCATGAAAGCCTTCAAGCATCTGATGACCTCATGCTTGATCCGGGTGTCGTAGTGGCTAGGAAATGAGAGGATGCAACCTGGTGAGTATTCCTGGACAGTGAAATACCACTTTCTCACCGTGCCCACATAAGCCCCCAGGAGCCATCCTCAGCTGAAAACTCCATAAGAACTTAATGGGGAGGGTGGGAGGAGACAAATAAATTCAGGGCTCTTTTTGTAGCAGGAACTCCTTTGCATATTAGGCCACACACCCCTAATGTAGCCAATCCTCCAAGAGCATACAGTAGCCCCTGTAGGAAGAGCTCTGTCAGCTCTTGGAGGATTGGCTACATTAGGGGGGGTGTCGCCTAATATGCAAAGGAACTCCTGCTACAAAAAGAGCCAAGACCATAATACAAGTTCCACTTCCCCATCCATGTAGATATAATTTTACTTATCCCAATTCCTACATGTTCTTCCAGCCTCCCCCTCTCCCCGAAAGCCACACAAAACACACCATTAAAAACTGGCTGCAACCAGCATGCATGCAACCCTTGGCAACCCTATCTGTGTGGAAAGGTGGCCTGTAAGTGTTTTAAATAAATAAAACAAATGAAAACCTTGCAGCACACATCTTAAACTCCTTCCCAAAGCAAAATCATTCCACAGACACTAACCAGATCATGAAATACACGCAAAACGTAACTAGAACAAGCTTACAATATATACTTATTCAAAGAAAAGGAGCTCTACTGGTACTGAGTATTATTTAAAGAGCTTAAATTCAGCACCTTACCTGGAAACCTCTTCCTTCTCATCATGCAGGCCTTTCAGTATGTCCAGCAAGCAATTCAGACCCTCCACTCCAAAATTTTGCACCCAACTGAAAGAATGGCACAGCAAAAACAGTTCAGCTATGTGAAAAGGAGTCTGCACATTAACCATTGTCAGCCACCCTCTAGACCCTCTGCTGCACCATTTTTACCTTCTCTGTGCTCCATGCGTGCATGCATGTGTATGTGAGTAAGCACACACGCTCACTTCTACCTGAACAAATGGAACTTTCCAAGGAATCAGCCCTTTACCTGACAGGATTATTATTGAGAGAGACCCGCAGAGACTCCAAACAGTTGAGCAGCTGTCCATCTCGGAGACCAGATTTCAGCTCCTGGATATACATGATCGAAGATTTGGAACTCTCCTTCTGACTCATTCCCTGCAGAAGGGAGAAAGAACGGCGGTGGTCAGAGCAGCTTGCCTCCTGGTACCAAACAAGGTGACCACAAGCCACCTTTCGATATTTCAACACCTGCTAGTTTTTAACCGCATTGCGGGGAGGGCGGGGTATAAATCGAATAAAATAAATAAATAAATAAATAAACTGGATGGAAGCAACAGAGTAAAAACTATACAGAATTAAGATTCTTAAACAGAAGTCTTCTCTCACAGTAAGTGATGTATGTAAAGTCAAGTCTGAAAATCACCCCAGCTATATTCTTCATTGCTGTTCTAGAAAGCAGGTAGTCCCCTCCCTCATCACTCAGAACATGTATGTCAGTGGTGCTCACTCTGAGGCTCGTGGAGAGCCACATTTGCTAGTCCCATCAACCAAAAGAGCCACACGACTACTGTATGACCGGAACCCCCACCCAATCCATGACACCTGGACAACGATATTTTTTGTTGTTGTTCAGTCGCACAGTCGAGTCCGACTCTTCACGACCCCATGGACCAGCTCCCGCCAGGCCTTCCTGTCTTCCGCCGTCCTCTGAAGTTGGCTCAACTTCATGTTCGTTGCATCTATGACACTGTCTAACCATCTCATCCTTTGCCGTCCCCGTCTTCTTTGACCTCCAGTCTTTCCCAGCATCACGGTCTTCTCCAGTGAAGGCTCCCTTCTCATTGGGTGGCCAAAGTATTTGAGCTTCAGCTTCAGTATCTGGCCTTCCAGGGTACAGTCAGGGTTGATTTCTTTTAGGATTGACTGATTTGATCTCCTTGCAGTCCAAGGGACTCTCAAGAGTCTTCTCCAGCACCATAGTTCAAAAGAATCTATTCTTCGACGCTCGGCCTTCCTTATAGTCCAACTCTCGCAGCCATACATGACTACTGGGAATACCATTGCTTTGATCATGTGGACTTTTGTTGGCAGGGTGATGTCTCTACTTTTTATCATGCTGTTTAGGTATTACAGATATAGATATTCATACTAAATATATATCTCTTTTTCTTCATCTAGTTACCTACCATCTCATGAATGCTGAACCTTAAGCCAGCTCTGTTGGAGTGAAGGGAAGGACCTGCACATCAGGCTTACGACACAAAACATGCACAAGCACTCAAGTTTTCCAGAATACTTTTTTAAACTGGATGTTACAAAATGAATCTTTCC